CATTTTCTTATATTAAGGATTGTAGGCACTCATCTAATGTTTGCAGTGCTGTCACTTTATAGGTGTCTAACTTCTTTGAAAGAGTTCATAGGCAAATTTATGAAAGAGATAGGCAAAGTTGGTATCCTTTAAAAGGGCTCTGTTTGCAGTTGGAGTGATTATGGTGAATTCCCTCATCTTCCAATTCTCTCTCCCTCTGGAATCTTCTTACATGAAGCAACTGAAGAGGTCAGCTTGGTTGATCTCACATTCTCTCTTTGTCCACAGAGAGTTGAAGGAGCTGATCTGCTCATCGACTTCCTGTTTGTAGCTCCAAATATTGGCTCCACTTTTCATGGAGCTTCCATCTGCCATCTTCACCAGAGATATCAAGGTTCCCATTGAATAGACTGAGCAGAGAGACCCATGGGTAGCCCATGAAATACAACAAGCTGAACGTATTTTGAAGTCCGTAAAGTAATTTCAGTGAATGGAAGAGGCAGAGACTTCTCTGTGGTGGCTCCATCAGTAGAGGCATAAACGTTACTCACTTTCAAGTGGTTTTTTTTTTTCCTTCCAGGATGAACACAGTCCTGCTGTCTTGGTGAGCACTCATCTTAAAGAGTGCTGGCTGGTGTCGGTTGTTGCTTTATGAAATATAACACTGCAAAGGTACCGTTCTTTTGCTCTGTGGTTTGTGTTGAAACTCTGCCTTTTCAGCAGAAGGAATCCTGAGAGTCTCAACTGGCTTTGTGCCTTTTTTTAGTCACAATAAGTATATTGAGACAGCCACATAGTCTCTCGCATTGCCTTGCCTCATTGGGGTTATCAAGGTAAGAAATGAACCCATTTCCTCCCACAAATGACAAATACAAGAGAATATCTCATAAATCACCACAGATGCCACCACACCAACACATACACAGAGCTATTCTCAAAATAAACTGGGATACAGAAAAACAACACTTCCCTTCCTAGATTCTGCAAATTCATGATGGATTAGTCTTCAGCATAAAGAAAGAAGCTGGGACATGGCTTTAATGTAAAAGTTTTAGAAGTCTGTTTGGAATCTCTACAAAGATTTCATTCTAAGAATGCTCTAATATTGTCAAACATAAGGCAATAAGATGACTGCCTCATGATGCCTTGAGATAATTCTGAACTTTGGATTAAATCTTCTTACTATTCATGGTGGGGAGGGATGAGGAGCTTAGAAATGTGATGCCTCAGCTGCTAGTCAAAACATCTACCAGCTGGCATGTGAACCAAGGCCACGCCAAAGGACACCTGTCAAAGCTGAGCAGGAACTTGTGGCTGACTTGATTGGCCCATGTGATCTAAAACAGTGGCCCCCAACCTTTTTTGTGCCATGGCCCGGTATCGGCATCACAAAATGATCCGCGGCCCGGTACCGGCATCAGCACGCATGACAAGGCAAGGTGAGCCGAGCAACCGGCCAGCCAGCCATCCCCCGCTTCTCCCCGCCACCTTCAACTCCTCCTTTGTATCTTTGTTGATGGGCTTCGCTTCAGGACGGTTGCTCGGCTTGCCTTGCCTTGGGTGCTGAAAGAATCCTCGCGCCTTAGTTTCATTTGAAGCCCCGCCCCTTCAATGTAACTAAGGCGCGAGGATTCCTTCAGGACCCAAACACCGCTTTCCAACTGGAAAAGCTCTCCCGGAAGTACTTTCTCGTCAAACAAGATGGCGGCACCCAGCAAACCGGCGGCCTGGTAGAAAATGTTCCACGGACCGGTACCGGTCCGCGGCCCAGTGGTTGGGGACCCCTGATCTAAAAGACACAGGGAGTGGGTGGGAAAATCCTGTTCCTTTAACTATCCCTAAGCTTGGGGATTATTTAGAGCTACCTTCACCTTTCTAAGTACTCAATAAAGGGATTCCTGAACCCAAACAAAGTGTCAGAGCCCTGACTTCCTTGAGTTTATTACTCAGAACGATGATGACGCTCACACCTTTGCATGCTTTCGAACTGCTGACCTTCCCCACAAAAAGCTCAGCATCTTAACAACTAGGACACCGCATCCATCTGGTACCACCATACAAATTTCTTTCCATATTCTGCACACCAGCAACTGGCGGGCCCTTAACTGCAAGCAGCCCAAACCATTTTTGCTTGTCTTCAGGTTGTGCTGTTTCCCACCCTTCTGAGACCGGCTCCCACTAACGATGGCTGGGGAAAAAGGAGGAATGAAAATCCTAACTCAGTAAATATTAACAAATTATATTCTGTTTTTTTCATGTACTTTGGGTAAAGGGTTGCAGCATCTGCTGTTTTTGTTGCTGTTCAGGTACTGTGTCCGACTTAACATGGATTGCATGGATCACAGCATCAAGGTCTTTTCCAACAAGTCCTCTCTTCTCATTAGGTGGCCAAAGTATTTGAACTTCAGCTTTAGGATCTGTCCTTCCAAAGAATATCCAGGGTTGATTTCCTTTAGGATTGACTGATTCGATCTCCTTTCAGTCCAATAGTTTTTCACAACACCACAAGTCAAGGGCATCGTTCCCTTTGCTTACTTCTTGCTTGCATCCTAACGATTTTTACTGACTGTTTCCCAGTATGCTTTGATCGCTTATGACTATCATTAAGTGTTGTACCTGATAATTCTTAACTCTTGACGAATGTAGCTTTTCTTTTATGTACAGGGAGAGCATATGTACTAAGACAAATTTCTTGTGTGTCCAATCACATGTGGCCAATAAAGAATTCTATTCTATTCTCTTAATTAATTAGTGAGTAACCCACAGTTCCCAGGGGTTTCCACACGGACTCTTTATCTATCTCCATTTCTGTCACTCCCAGAGTCCTTTCCCATCCCTTGCCCAGAATTTGATAGCAATATGGCCAACCTGTAGCATTCTTGTGCCAAAATAATAATAGAATAACAGAGTTGGAAGGGACCTGGGAGGTCTTCTAGTCCAACCCCCTGCTTAAGCAGGTAACCATTTCAGACAAATGGTTCTCCGATCTCTTCTTAAAAACTTCCAGTGTTGGAGCATTCACAACTTCTGGAGGCAAGTTGTTCCACTAGTTAATTGTTCTAATTGTCAGGAAATTTCTCCTTAGTTCTAGGTTGCTTCTCTCCTTGTTCAGTTTCCACCCATTGCTTCTTGTCCTGCCTAATGGTGCTTTGGAGAATAGCTTGACTCCCACTTCTTTGTGGCAGCCCCTGAGATATGGGAACACTGCTATCATGCCATTCCTATCCCTTCTTTTCATTAAACTAGACCTACCCAATTCCAGCAACCGTTCTTTAAATGTTTTAGCCTCCGGTCCCCTAATCATCTTGGTTGCTCTTCTCTGCATTCTTTGTAGTCTCAACATCTTTTTTACATTGTGGCGATATAAGAACCAAAATAGTCCAAATAACTTCTGAGCAGGGGTGGGATTCAACAGGCGTCATTACTGGTTCGGTGATTATGTTTTGTGCGCATGTAAAATAACTTTAGTCTGTGCCTCCCGCACAGCTGAAAAGCGCTGTGCGAAAAGCCACTTTTTTCCTGCTTTTTCAACCTCAGCTGTGCCGCGCAAAGCAGCTGAGGTTGAAAAAGCAGGAAATAAAGGACAGGTAAGAGCCCGGGCAGGTGAGTGGGCCAAATAGCAGCAAACACAGAACCGGTTCTGTGTCTGCTGCTCTTCAGAGCCACCGGTTCTTTAGAACCGGGTAGAACCGGTAGCATCCCAAACCTGCTTCTAAGCAAAATGCACCCCCAGCCATCTTTTTGGAAGTTAAATCCATTTTAAAAACAACAAACCAAACCCTCTGAAAAAAAAATCTAACTGGAAAAAAAAGGCTACCCTCCTGTTTGATCAAATTGAAAAGGATGTTGGTTTGTGGGGTTTTTTTTAATCCCCCAGACTGTGAAAGTGTTAACAAAGTGAAAAAGAACATCTGTGATTTCTTGTTGCATATTGGAGGCAGCAACTCCAGTCTCTTTTCCTTTTTTTCCATTTCCTTTCTCCATTTACTCAGGCAACACGCTGAGAAGTAAATAAGCTATTAAGCAGAACAACAAGGCTGTCCAAAGGTACAAGGGAAGCTGCAACGTTTTTCTGGCAGTTGTTTTCCACATCAGCCCTGGGAACTCCTGCAATGCCAGAAAAGTTAAAAAAAAAGAAGAAGAAGTCCAATTCTATATAACATCAGAAGCAAGGGGAAAAAAACACGAAGCCTTTGGACCTTAACTTATGCTTCTGGCAAGTGTTTAGGTGATGGGCAATGACTGGTGGAAGGATGCAATGTATTGAAAGAGGCTATCCCAAAAGTGATTTTTCAAGAGGCAACTGGACTTTCTGGTTTTTCTTTGAAGATGTTTCACTTCTCATCCAACAGCTTCTTCGGCTCTGACTGGGTGGTGGGGAATGGAAGGATTTGTATTCCTTGCGGACAGCTGGTCATTTGCATTCTTTTAGCAAGTCTTTGAGGCCACTCGGAGATTTATCTGTGTCCTCAGGGTCACCTGAGTAGTGCAAAGGTGTGTGGAACCTTCTGGGAACTGCTGAAAGGACTGTGTTGTAGACTGATGATGTTGTACATCGTCTGTTGAGGGAGGGTTCTGTTGACCAGGGGGCGGGGGGAGAAATATGATACCACCTATCTCCTGTTTACAACACAGTTCTTTCAGCAGTTCCAAGAAAGGCTCCACACCCATTTGCACTATTCAGGTGACCCTGAGGACACAGATAAACTTCCAAGTGGCCTCAAAGACTTGCTAAAAGGATGCAAACAATCAGATGTCTGCAAGGAGTATAAATCCAGTCAGAGCTCAAGAAGCTGCTTGGATGAGAAGCGAAGCATCTTCAAAGAGAAAACAAGAGAGTATAGTTGCCTCTAGAAAAAGCACTTTGGGAACAACCATGACCTGGGTGACCGAGAATCTCCACAGACACTGAGAGAAGCTAGAAGCCAAAATATCATTGGTATTTAATTTTGGACACTTTGCAGTAAAACTATGTCTTTGCTTCTCTACATTACAAAAAAGTCAAGATCGTTTTTGTTTACCTTAAACGATTCCAAGAATCCACCATGTCCACCATTCTCCAGCTTGTCTTCCTCGGATCCTAGGCCCAACATCAGCTGTGTGTGGATGTGGAGTTCATCATGCAAGTTGTCCAACAAGGCAGCCCGCGTTCGATCCTAGAAGTAACATTTATGAGGTTCTAAAATGGCCTTGCAGTTCTGATGGAAGCTAAAAAGGGATTGGGTCACTTTTTCCCAGCCTTGGTAGCTTGAAAGTGTGTGGACTTCAACCTTCACAACTCCCATGCTGGCTGGGGAATTCTGGGAGTTGAAGTCCATCCATCTTAAAGTTATTCAGGTTGAGAATCACTATGGCAACTCTAAAAGACCAGAGAAATATGGTTAACGCCGACATATTCACTCCTAATAAATGATTTTTTTAAAAACTCAGAGATTTGGCTAAAGACTCATGATTTGAATGGGGGGTAGATTGCCGGAGCCCTGACACATTATTTATGGTGGTTTATGATGTTTTGCCCAAATCCAGCATTTACTTTCAGTTTTGGGCAAAACTGCCCCAGAGTGAATGACTGGTTCACTTAACAACCACAATGTTTGCTTAATGACCACCACAAAAAAAAGTTCATAAAATTGTGTTGCCTATTTTACAACCATCATGACATACAACCATAATGGGCAAGCTCCGTTATGGTCATAAGTCAAGGACTACTTGTACTTATGGATTGGGTGCTTGGCTTTTCTTATTTTTTATTTCATTTTGTTCTTTTCCTCCTTGTTGGTCTTATTTTTTGTGTTTTTCACACTGATACCCGCCACCCAGAGTTGTGTTTGCTGCCACACGGGTGGTTTTATACATCTTTTAAGTAAACAGAAATAGTATGTGTATGATGTTGTGACACACGTCCCAAAGGTACAAAGGGAAGGGAGGAAAGAAGGAAGGAAGGAAGTCGAAGGAGAGAAGGAGGAGGAAGGGAGGAATCAGTTGACCACTTCATATTCTTAATAACTTCCTTCCCTCACCCAGACAAAACTTCAGGAGGCCCTATATAACATTCCAGACAAATGGCTATCCAATCTCCTCTTGAAAACTTACAATGAGGGAGCGCCGACAATTTCCAGAGGTAAGCCATCTCATTGATTAATTGGACAGCCATTTGCCTGAAATGATATAGGGTTTATTGCCTGAGCAGGGGGCTGGACTAGAAGACCTCCAAGGTCCCTTCCAACTGTTGTTCTATTCTATTCTATTCTATTCTATTCTATTCTATTCTATTCTATTTCTACTCTGTCTTATTGACAAAGAATAATAGGATGGGAAGAGATTTTGGAAGTCTTCTAATCCAACCCCTGCTCAGGTGCGAAGCTTACACTATAAGGGATGCAATATGGTTTTGTGATCTGCCTCCTTTTCACTACCTTTGTATTTAAGTTTCTCTTTCTTTCTTTCTTTCTTCCTTCCTTCCTTCCTTCCTTCCTTCCTTCTTTCTTTCTTTCCTTTCTTTCTTTTTCTTTCCTTCCTTCCTTCCTTCCTTCCTTCCTTCCTTCCTTCCTTTCTTTCTTTCTTTCTTTCTTTCTGTTTTTGACACAGATCACAGTTTCTGTGGGATGCCTGGTTCACCTGGGAGATTTGAGCGGTAATAGAGATCAGCTCTCGCAAACAAACAAAAAAAACCCCCGTAAGCGTGCGCCCGAGGAAACTGAACATTTGCAAATGCGGCTCCGCTTTAATTGGCTTTAAGATAAATTTCCTTTCAAGTTGAGCTCAACCCCGGGTGACTTCATAGAGATGGCCATATTGTTTTCTCAGCAGGAAGCCTGTAATTAATAGAGCTGCGAGCTCTGATCTATTGATTAAACAAGATTTAATCCGCCGAAAGTCTTCTGCATGAATCAGCAGGAGGTGCTTTTGATCACAGAAAGCCATTTTAACTGGGGACCCTGGGAAGACAATCCCTCCTGTTGTGCTACAGCAGGGGAAGGGGGTATAGTTGCCCACCCCTGCGTTATAGGGCTCATTTAACAGCGCTGTGTCTCAGAATGCCAGGATTCTTGGATCAAACAATTCATGACATGATAGGCGGCAAACTTTGCATGAACAACTTTTCACACCAAGGCATTTTCAATTACAAACAATTGCAATGGTAGACCAGTACACTCTAAAGCTTTGCTGGCTGAGGAATTCTGGGAGTTGAAGTCCACAAGTCTTAAAGTTGCCAAGGTTGGACACCCCTGGTCTAAAGTTTAGGATGTTGGGGCAACACTGAGGAAACCCTGATGCCAGTCCATGCTCAGCCATGGAAATTTTCTGGATGACTTACTCTCACTTAGCCCAACATATATTAGGGGGGGAAACAAAATTGAGTTGAGTTCCTGGAGGAAAAGCAGATCTAAATCTAAGAAACAAGTTGAAGTTTTGTTTGGGTGAGAGGGCGAACCCAAAGGTGCTTTCTTCAAGAGGCAACTGGACTTTCTGGTTTTTCTTTGAAGACGTTTTGCTTCTCATCCAAGAAGCTTCTTCAGGTCTGACTGGATGGTGGGGAATGGAAACATTTATATTTCTTGCAGACAGCTGGACATTTGCATCCTTTTAGCAAGTCATTGAGGCCACCTGGAGGTTTATCTATGTCCTCAGGGTCACCTGAATGGTGCAAATGTGTGTGGACCCTTCTGGGAACTGCTGAAAGGACTGTGTCGTAGACTGATGATGTCATATCCCTTCCCCTCTGTTGAGGGAAGGCTGTTCAGTTTTGACATAGATGGCTTCTTTGATCCCTTTGGTCCTCTCTGTCCAGAATGTGGACTTTGCTGTCTTCAAAAGAACGGCCTGTGGTTTTTAAACGCAGATGGACTGTTGAATCTAGTCCTGGTGGGTTTGTTCTCCTATGTTGGGTGAGAAGCGAAACATCTTCAAAGAAAAACCAGAAAGCCCAGTTGCCTCTTGAAAAAAGCACCTTTGGGACAACCATGTCCTGGATGACTGAGAATCTCCATAGACATGAGAGAGAGAAGTTATTAAGAATATGATCAAATGATTCCTCCCTTTCTCCTTCTTCTCTCCTTTCCCCCTCCTTCCTTTCCTTCCTCCCTCTCCTCCCTTTTCTTCCTCCCTCCCTCCCTCCTGGCATTGTTTCTTTGAGGAATGACTGCCCCTGCACATGTTCCTGAAAGAACATGAAACCACAAGATGTTGGCATAAACACATGGGCATTCCATGAATTGCAGATTGACTCACTGTCATTCTGATGCTACACAACAGGGGCCTTTGGCTATTCTAAGCCAGGGGTCTTCTAAGATGCCATTCTATACACATTAATGGAGCAATCTTATTTCTGGACCATTAAGCGTGGTTATTCCATCAGATGTCTTCATGAAATTAATACATGCATACAGCTTCACAAACACCTTTTAATCTATTTTTCAAATACACTTTTTGAAGGTATTGTAAATGTATCTCTAAACTTCTTTTGTCCAAATTCCATATATGCACTTGCATTTTTTTTTAACCTGGAACTCTTGCAAAATTCAGAGACGTGCAAGAATTGAACCACAACGTTTTTCATCAATACTATGATGCAGAAATTGTGAATTACTGCAGAATTCATAACGAGGTAATGTCACAAGCCCCTCTTTCCTGGTGTTTGGCCTCCAAGGAGTCCCTGTAAAACATGACTGCCAATCTCTGATATCCCAAAGCAAAATGGATTTGGGCTGAGCAGGTTGTCCTATTTACCTGCTCAAGGGCAACCCCATTTTTCCTTACCTCAAGCTTGGCAAACTTGTCTGATTTGCAGCAGGCATTTTCTGCGTTGATCAGCTTGGTGAGAAGAAACTCTCGGAATTCTGCATTCTAAGAAATGAATAAAGCAGGTTAGCTCTGGAATGATCCAGTTCAAGACTGTTCATTGGGGATCATCAAGACATCTTCCAAAACTCCAAGATGATTGTCCAATGAACTTGAGCCAGAAATGTATTCCAAAGAATCTCCCCTGAATCAAACAGATGTAAAAAAAGATGCTGAGACTCTAGAAAGAGTGCAGAGAAGAGCAACCAAGATGATTTAGGGGACTGGAGGCTAAAATATAAAGAATGGTTGCTGGAATTGGGTATGTCTAGTTTAATAAAAAGGAGTAGTGGGGTGGCATGATAACAGTATTCCAATATCTCTGGGACTGCCACAAAGAAGAGGGAGTCAAGCTATTCTCCACAGCACCTGAGGGCAGGACAAGAAGCCATGGGTGGAAACTAACCAAGGAGAGAAGCAACCGAGAACTAAGGAGACATTTCCTGACAATTAAAACAATTAATCAGTGGAACAACTTGCCTCCAGAAGTTGTGAATGCTCCAAAACTGGAAGTTTTTAAGAAAAGACTGGAGAACCATTTGTCTGAAATGGTATAGGGTTTCCCGCTTAAGCAGGGGGTTGGACTAGAAGACCTCCAAGGTCCTTTCCAACTCTGTTAATATATTACATTCTACCTTATTGGCCATTTTCTACATAGAACAAAGAATAATAGGGTTGGAAAGGACTTTGGTGGTCTTCTAGTCCAACCCCTCTACTCTGGCAGGGGGACCCTACACCATTCTAGACAAATGGTTCTCCAGTCTTTTCTTAAAAACTTCCAGTTCTGGAGCATTCACAACTTCCAAAGGTAAGCCATTCTACTGATTAACTGCTCTGTCATGAAGTTTCTCCTTAGTTCTAGGTTAGATCTCTCTTTAATGATCTTCCACCTGTTACTTCTTGTCCTGCTCTCAGATGCTTTTGAAAATAGGTTGACCCCCTCTTCTCTGTGACAGTCCCTCAAATACTGAAAGATTGCTATCATGTTACCCATAATTCTCTTCATTAGAGTATTTTTGACTAGATATACCTAGTTCCCTCAGTTGTTCTTCGTATGGTTTAGCCTCCATATCCCTTATCAACTTCGTTACTCTTCTCTGCACTCTTTCTATGTTGTCAATTATCTATGGTGACCAGAATTAGATGCAGTATTCCAAGTATTTCCTCACTAGTACGTTATAGAGCAGAACTATCACCTCCCATGATCTTGAAACTATCCCTCTATTGATGCAACAGGGCTATGGGGTCTCTGGCTGACTTATTTTTGGTTGGTTTGTTTTTAAAAAAACCACCAAAATTTAAAAATAAAAAGTAGCAACACTTCAGACCTATCTACTCTAGTGACATCATTGCCTAACCAGTCATATTTCATGTGATCTTAGAAACTTAATAATAATGCAACGCATGGAGAATGATGATATCCCCTGAAGATAAAAGAATAATAAAACATTTGTGGTTTGTAATCCACAACAATTGGGGGCCTACAATAAACTAAAGCAAAAATCAGTGTTCTCAGTTTGGTTCAGTGCAATACAGAAATCCAGGCCACGTCATGAAATTTGTGTCATTTTAAGTCCCTTTTTTGGAAGTGTGGAGGGAGATCTATGAAAATTCAATCCCTCCCCCAGACCTCCCAAATTACTTCCCATAAGAACCAAACACAAACCTTGTTTTAGGGTTAGGGTTGTGTCTTACTTTTTGAAATACAGGTGGGCTTGGCAGTGAAGGACCAAAAGACGGAACATCTTCTCGTGCTGTGACAGCTACCTATCCAAAACAAAGAAAGAGAAAAAGCATTTGAGCTTATGATATGCGCAAAGTTACATGTAAAAGAACCCAATGTAAATACAGTTGTCATACAAAGGTCTCTCTGATTAAATTTGTTTTTCTCACTCTTGGCCAGCCATATAATTCTTGGAAGTCCTGAGGGAGTGTCTTTCCCAATGGCTTTGAAGAAGGTAAGTGTCAGGATTCCAGCAATTGCTCTAATTAAATCATGATCCTCGAGCCAACCTTCAAAAAACTTCAAAGGATTCATTAGAGGCGACATACTGGCACTGCCCTGTATGTAGCCAATTCTGGCGTATATAATTTACAGTCATCTATGATCCTGTTTCCTCCCTCTCCCCTGGGTGTCCCATAAACTAGATTCTCCAATTGAGCACGTTCACAGGCTGGGTGTCATCATTTACGTTCTCCAATTAAATATATTCACGGGCAAAACTCTGGTATTTAGTTACAGTCTTTTAAAGATAAGAGTTGGAATGTACTTTCGCTTTCCCCCCCTTTTTATGGCAACTACTAAAACAGGCATGGGAATGTTTTATGAATTGACAATAAGATTATCTCTGAATATGGAGATTCTGTCCTAATAAGGACATCCATGACCTAAGAAAACCTTTCTCAACTCTACAATCTACAAATGTGAAATAGAAATATGAAATGTAACTATGAACCCTAGAATTCCTCACCAGCAACACTGATGTTCCTCCAGGCAAAGAACTATGGAAAAAGTTATAGATTGTAGATACCAGGTTGGAAAAAAATTGTAAGGAGTCTCCACCGATTAAGGCTAATGAATATTATGAGGCATAAGTTTTTGTGAAGTGTAGCTCACAAGGGGGGGTATTGTTTATTTTTCAAATTTATATAATTGCCTATCGCACAACTAAGTGACTCTTGTTAAGGTTAAGCAGATAAAAGTTCAAGGTGGACAGTTTGCAAGTACTTCGCCCATTAACAATTGACATGTGTTTGTTCAGGCCTTCTGAAATAGCCTGGGATATATTGATGTATGTATATTCAGCTGTGGTCAACTGTCCTGGCATACTCCTTTTGACGCAGAATTATGACTTGTGATTTGCGAGTGTCCTGGGAGGTTAAATGCTTTTCAATTACTTTCTGATATCAAACTTGACCATTAATTATTTTTGTTAGGAATCTGAGTCACCTAACAGCTATTTGGGTGAAACTGTATCTTTAAGAAAATGCAAAACTGTAGTTGGGTGTGGTTTCTCAAACGGCCATAAGATGGAGCCAGAAACCTGGGTTGTTTTAGTCTTAATCTCAGAAGAGAGTGTGTCTCTGTCTCTGTTTCCTTCTGTTGGAAAGTATTGCCGTTCCTCCATTTCTTCTAATTGACTGATATTACTGGATTTAATGTAAGTCTTACTGAACTGTTTTTGGACACTGGACTTTGATATTTGGATTATCCCTGGATTGAAAACTGACTGATTTTTGTGAATGACTTTGGATTGCTTATTTTGGACTTTGCTTAAACCTTTCTGGAAGTAAAAACTTACACTGTACAATGTATCTGTGTGCTCGGTGTGTATTATTCCAACACTACTCTCTAGACGTCTCCCTGTATGCACTCATTCTCCTAATGGGGAATTACCTCAACAATTTTGCACAAAGTCTGGCCTATTTATAGAATCCAGAGGGCCATTGCTATCACATTAGAAGAAAGGTATGTGAAAGTGACTCTAAAAGTGTGTGTAAAATAGTTGGGGCGCATGATGGTACTGTTGGTATAAATGCAGCAGTAAAACAAAGATCTGGGTTCTTCACATGTCGTGGTTCCCATGTTAATGTCACGGTCCTGTGTTTTCTTGGCTTGTGCGAATCTGCTTCCCTTGGGTGGTTGTCTGGTTGCAACTTTAGGTCTACTACCAAAGGGCCCACTGAGCTATGTGCCGATTGTGGAAATTTCAGTCTTTCAAACTCTAGTCCAGTAATGGCGAACCTTTTCGCTATGGTGTGCTGAAAGCATGCGCGTGTGTGCCAGCACCCACAATATAATGCACCCCCCCTGCGCATATGCATGTGCAAAACTCCTGCCCTGCCCCCTTACCTACACTGCACATACGCGCGCCTCCCAGCTGATTTTCAGCCTGTTTGTGGCCATTTTTGCCCTTCCAGAGTCTTGAGGAAAGCCTCTGCAGCCTCGGGAGGCCAAAAAACAGGCCTTCCGGAAATATATGGGTTCCCTCGAGCCTCCGGGAAGGTGAAAATGGCCTCAAATGGGCCGAAAATCAGCTGGGAGGTGCACGCATGCACAGTGCAGGTAAGTTTGGCTGGGCTTGCACCTGTGGCACGCATGCAATATAACCACCATCATGGCTGTAGTCTATCGAAATGGATGTAATTCACTCAACACACACATACACGCACATCAAAATTCCTCATCAAGGTTAATGTTAACCATGTTGTTGTATGAATGCTTCAGCCAGAGATTCCCCTAACCCAGTGTTTCATAATCTTGGCAAATTTAGGATGGGTGGACAGTAAGGCTGGCTGAAGAACTCTGGGAACTGAGATTAACCCATCTTAAACTTGCCTGGGTTGAGAAATATTGCCATAATCTATATTGTGTGTTAACAGAATCTTTTGTGTGAAAGGAAGCTACTAATATTGCAACAAGGAAAGTATTAGAAGTACTTTTTCTTCCACTATAGCATCGAAGGCCTAAACAATAAGAAATAAAAAAAACGAAGCAATCGCATTTGTCAAGGTAGTGAGGAAAAAATTGGAAGCAGGATTGTAGAAAAGATGATTCTAAATTAAATTAAATGAAATAATTAACTGCATATTTGAAAGGATTGCCTTGGCAAGAGGCAGAATCTAGCTAGCCTTGACTGATTTAAACAAAATAGACACTGGACTGGTTACCACTTGAACAGGAGACTACTACAAAGTCTACGAAGTTATGGGTTAGGATGAGAAATTGGAAATTATTCCAGAATGGGGCAAGGGCTAATCACTACCATAATCCTTGCTAAGAATGTAGCCCAGATGTAAGTCGCCAGGATTCAAATGTTTCTTGAGACATTCTACTGATCCATCTAAACTGATACTGAAGTTCCTCTAAGTAGAACCTCTGGCTGGTGAAGTCATTGAACACATCTGGGCAGATGACGAGATTTCTGGCAAGATATCTGGGTCCATATAGAGTGCATTTACCCTCAACACACACACACACACCCATGTATTGATTGAACAGTAGTTCACACAAAGAAAAAAAGAGATAGGCAAAAAACTTATAATGCTATGAGGAGTAATACAAAATAATAATATAAATAATGATAATATAATAGTAATAGGCACCTTGAGTACAATCCCTGATCATTACTTGAACACCATCGGCATTGACAAAACAACCACCAGTCAATTGCAAAAGGCAGCTTTACTAGGAACAGCTTCCATCCTTCAATGATGTCTTTTAACACATCCACATGTGCCTATCCGAGGTTCTTGGTGGACAAAAATGCTAAATTCAGCCAGAACATCTGGCTGACTGAGCAACAAGCCATAATATATTATTGTAAATGCATTAAATTAAAAGGCACAAAATTCCAAAATGGGTTCGCAATCTCCATATTTCATAAGCCAACAAAATCATACCAGTTGCCATTAACATAATCATTAAAATCTGAAGAAAACATAACTCTTTCCTTTGAATATTCATTATTCTACTTTATCCATGTTGTTTTCCTAACCAAGCAATTGAAAAATTTCTTTCAATCCACAAACTGATCGTTAATTTTACATCTCTTATTTATGAACTGAACTGTGCGAGTCACCGTGTGTTCCAGCCACTCTACAATGCAAATACAAAGGGATGCCTATTGACCAGAAAAATGTCCAAGCTTCTCATATACAGGTAGTCCTCAATTTACGACTGGTCACTTAGCAACCAAAGTTACGGCAGACTTGAAAAGGTGCATTTACAACCTGGATTAGAAGTTCCAACTGTTTGAACTCTGTGATCATGTGACCAAACTTCAGCTACTCAGCAACACGGCTGCATTCACACCATCATTTGCAGCAACCCACCAATCCCATTAGAGAGAACCTGGAAGAGGGGATCCCTTCGGAGCCTTTTTCTCCAGCCATTATGCAGCTGGAGACTATGCCATCTCTTATCTGCCTGTTCCCTAGGCAGCATCGTTTCCTTCTGTCTCCTAGGGGAAAAGTGCAAAGAAGAGCAACTAAGATGATCAAAGGCCTGGAGACTAAAACATAGGAAGAAAGGCTGCAGGATTTGGGTTCGGCTAGTCTAAAGAAAAGAAGTACTAGAGGTGACATGATAGCAATAGTCCAGTACTTGAGGGGCTGCCACAAAGAAATGGGGGTCAAATTATTCTCCAAAGCCTTGATGGGCAGGGCAAGAAACAATGGATGGAAACTAATCAAGGAGAGAAGAAACCTGGAATTAAGGAGAAACGCCCTAACAGTGAGGACAATTAACCAGTGGAACAGCTGGCCTCCAGAAATTGTGGGTACTTCATCACTGATGACTTTTAAGAAGAGACTGGGCAGCCATTTGTCTGAAATGGTGTAGGCCTTAGGGTCTCCTGCTTGAGCAGGGAGCTGGACTAGAAGACCTCCAAGGTCCCTTCCAGCTCTATTCTGATTCTGAAGTTATAATGGCACTGAAAAAAAGTGATTTATGACCCCTTTTCACACTTACGACCATTGCAGCATTCCCCATGGTCACATGATCAAAATTCAGATGCCTGGCAACCAGTTCATATTTACAATGAGATCATGGGATCATGCAATCACCTTTTGCAATCTTCTGACACCCAAAGTCAATGGAGAAGCCAGATTCCCTTTAACAACCATATCACTAACTTAACAACTGCAGTAATTTGCTTAACAACAGTGGCAAGAAAATGGGGTAAAACTCACTTAACAACTGTTTCACTTAGCAACAGGTATTAGGGGCGGTCATAACTAGGCGTGGCTAGTCTAGTGAAGAGAAAGACCAGGGGAGACAGGATAGCAGCGTTCTAATATTTGAGGGGCTGCCACAGAGAGGAGGAAGGGGCCATGCCAGAGGTGGGATGCTACCGGTTCGGCCCAGTTCTATACAACCGGTAGCTCCGAAGAGCATTCTGGTCATCTGTTTGACCAGCCCACCCACCCACCCGGGCTCTTGGCTGTCCTTTATTTCCTGTTTTTTCAACCTCAGTGAGAACCATCAACCCATGGAACAGAAGTTGCCCACAGAAGTTGTGGGAGTTTCATCATTGGAGGCTTTCAAGAAGAGATTGGACTGCTATTTGTCAGAAATGGTTGTAGGGTCTCTGCTGGGTGTGGGATTGGGCTAGATGACCTACAAGGTCCCTCCCAATTCTTTTAATCTGTTAAAATAACTCAGGGATTACCCGTACACCTTTTTTCCCCCTATATGGGACAACAGGGTGGCAAAGCAACTGCTTCAGAATAATTTGTAAATGCCAGAATGGGCATATAGCCCATTAAAGACTGCTGGCCACCTGCTCTGCAACCTTCAGTCAAGCTTGATTTTGCTAAGGCTTCAAGGACAGATGTATGCTACACGCCTCTGGGCATTTAATGACATTTCCTGCCAATGTGCAGATAGGCTAACAAAAGTGCCGAGGGCACCAGCTGCTTCTCCAAGAATAAATAACAATTTTCACAAAGGCTTAGCTGGAACTCTTTATCTCTGGTCAAACAGGTACATTTTTCAAAGCCACCAAAGGGCTTATTTGTCAGATGGAAAACAGATGTGGTCACACACAAACCAGGGACACACACACACACATTCTACTTTTCCCACACGCTTACTTTATAGGATGTATTATCCGTTTCTGGATTTTCTGCCTGGACGACAATATAGGCGTGCAGAAAATTTGAAGCAATCATATCCGGAACAAAGGGAGTGTTTTCTTCTTGGAATATAATAGCCACAATGTCGTTGCCAATGTGTCTTTTCCGTTGAAGCTGCGAAGATTAAAGGAAAGAGACAAACACACACTTCCAGGTGGGAGCTCTTAAACAGAAAAACATCCCAATTTTTACTCATCAGTGCAGAGATTTTCTAAGTCTAACAGCAGCAAGATGAAGCATGCATGGCCTAGAAATAGCAATAACATATTTAGACTTATATACTGCTTCACAGTGCTTTTACAGCCCTCTCTAAGCAGTTTATAGAGTCAGCATTATTGCTCCCAACAATTCGGGTCCTCATTTTACCGACTTTGGAAGGATGGAAGGCTGAGTCAACCTCGAGATGGTCAGGATCGAACTGCCAAACTGCTGGCAGAAGTAGCCGGCAGTACTACACTCTAACCACTGCACCACCACAGCTCTTCAAATGAGCCCCTCCCCCTTTCTTGAACACACATCAACACACAAACACACACAGAGAGAAGAAAGGGCTGCTTTCTCACAATATCCTTCACCAACGTGAGAAGTTTTATATCCAAACATATTCTTTTTACTGCTTTTTCTATCTTCCTTTAAAATATTAACAGAATCCACAGTGCTTTGAGTGGATTCAGTGTCTGCACTGGATAATTGACAGTCAACCTGAAACTAAATTAATCAACTAAATTTAGCAAAACCCTCCAAATACGTGACCCAGACCTAATCGACATATCAAAGGATAAGGCCTGCAAACACAGCCAGAGTTAATTAAACTAGGTCTGTCAGAGGAGCTGCATGTTCACAAGAATAAACATACCTACCTACCTATACAGATACACACATCTCAAGTGTCACCCTAGAATCAACATGTAGACACTTCACCCTGCACAAGCTACCCCTATAAAAATCTGCTGCTATACCCCATTTCTCTGCAGCCTGCCTTTAAAGGCAAACTGTTTTGCTTTTAGGAATAAATATTTCTTCTTTCTTCACTGCTGTCTGGATGTCATTTTTATTTATTCTTACTCATTGGAAGCCCAAATTATTCTTCTGACACCAGGTTCGGGAAAAACTTCGTTGGTGTAAAATGCAAAGCTTAAATTTAGTCATCCTTTCCATGCTGTGGTAAACTATCAGTTCAGACATTTGATGAGTTTAAGGTTCAGGAGAGATCAAATGAGCCCCGAAAATGAACTGGCCTAGTAAGCCAAGTTAAGAGTTGAGGCTCTGCCTTGTTTGAGGGCGTGCAATTCCAGCAATTCCAAAGGAAGAATTCAACAGCCCTCAGCAACTCAAGTTAACGACACAAAAATATACACATTTCTGTGTATGCATATAAAGGTTTGTGTTTATAATTCTATCTGGGAATATATTGATGTTAAAAAAGGGCCGTTATCAAAAGGAATTGTGTATGGCAATTCCCACGAATTTGCATAAAGGCTTTTTTTAACTAATGATGCAGAAAAGGGGCATAATAAACCTACACAGTTTCAGAAAATGAGAATCTGGGTGCAAAATATTAAAACAAAACAAAATGGCAAGCTTCTATCAAAGGAAATTTGGTCTTTAAGAAAAATTAAAGCAAAAACAAACATCCATCTGTCTGTGCAACTTCCCTGAAGAGGTTATTCAATCGCAAGACGTGGTCACACTGGCCGAAAGCAATTCACACCTTTCCTTCCACGGCCAGTTACACAATGTTCACTTTACCACTTCATCCCTTGTGCGGCCCTGCTATTATATCTCGAAAGAGAAAGGTCAGATCTCACTTACCTGCTGGGTATCACCTTCTGTGAAGGGAAGCTTGGTGGAAACATGGAACATAATCTCTCTGTCCCTGAACACTGTGTAGACAGATTCTGTGCCTGTCTGAGCATGAGTCACATCGAGGCCGCCTCGAAAGCTGAAAAGAAACCCAGAACAAGATAGGAGAACTTTGGTACTTAGGGAAGAGGAAAGGAGGGAGGGAGAGAGCGAGGGAGGGAGAGGAAAAGAAGGAAGGAAGGAAGGAAGGAAGGAAGGAAGGAAGGAAGGAAGGAA